TTTGTCTCAAGCTATTTGGCTTGTTTCGTCTGTAATCGATTCATCCATTTGATTAATGACAAGTTCTTATCAAAAAAAATATATATATATTATTTCGCCCCTCATTGTGAAAAATATGACTCCATCACAAACCATTAGATATATATATATACACACTGTGATGGTTGATATTGTGTTGCAATCCCAAGTGTAGGATGTCAATTAAATAAATGATTTAAGAGTTTCGATTATCGTTCTCATGAGAAATTATTTAACTATATCTAACTTCTATTTGAGTAAAAACTATTCAAAGATATTTTAATTATGAAACTAAAAATTATAAATCTAAGAAAACAATCAAGAATTGTGAAAATAGACATTTAGCCTTCAGGCTTCAGGATTTTAACTGATGTATGAAAAGTGTTAGCGTTCACGAATTGACCAAAGCTATCATCTTAATCTCATTTACCAAATTTTGACAACAATCAATTGTGTACCTGATTTTTATTCTTCTCAACTAATTAATTTACCTCTCTTGAGTTCCAACTCAAATAATTCAACTTACTATATGTATATGTGAATCGGGGATAAGTCTTAATTAAGAGCATTCAATCACAAATAATAATAATAATTAAGAACCACAAAATTAGTCTAAATGTATCCGTACCTTATAACAAAATTCCAACTTTTACTGAGTGGTCTAAACATATAACTTACATTTTGACTTGTTACTGCTCAAAAATCAATGAATAGTGGCCTATATATATATATATAGGTACACATCCAATAAAGCTACTCAAACGGGGGTATTGACAGAGTTTGGTAACAAGTGTTATGTGATAGCACCTGTCAAACTGTTTTTTTTTTAACTCTCAAATGAAAAAAATAACACGTGTGCCCTATTTTGAATTCTATCGCTGAGAAGAGAAACATAAGAAATATTCGGAGTACATCGCTAGGTTTAAAATAATAATCATAAAAAGATTATTTTCTTACACCAAGAATTCATCTCCTTCGTGTTACTTTCTTGAAACCCTACCTTTTATTTATTTTCTCATTTGTATCGTCTCTCCTTTGGATTCTTTATTTCTAACCTTCTATTTTGACTTAAAATAGGTCCTCATATAGCGCTCTTTTCCCCCCTCTCGAAAGATGTGCCTTGAAAAGACCCAAATAGCCTCGAACATAAAACAAGAAAACATAAATTTCTCATATCAGGCCGTGGTTCACTTTCATGGCCTGAACCATGGCAAACCAAACTTCTTCAACGAACCATGTTAGACTGTGGCAAACATGCTATTGCCCATTCTAGGTTGGGCCACGATATACTTACTGCGATCCAGCCCCTCAGCTTTCCGTTTGTTGTGCTTTATCCCTACTTCAAAATTCTTATATGTTTTTGGTCCTCTTATATCGCACTCTTTAATATGAATCCCACAACTAAAAGCTTTCATATTGGTCCTCGAATCTCCATAATCATCAAAAGTTGGTCTTCAAAAGTTTTGAAGGTGTTGAAACAATCCCCAAACTTTCGATAAGTTCAATTTCATTCTCGAAACTTGTGACTTTTCTCCA